GAAGGAGCAATTGAATACGATACGATCCTTCTCATTATGATGGACCATATGATGTGGTATGTACCACGAATGAGGACTCAATTCACACTCCTTGGATGATAGCGGGGTGACATAGCCTGCCTGCAGCAACTTCTGGATTTCAGCATCATAAGTGACTGCCCTTTGTGGCTCTCTGGACAACCGTCTCTCCGTACTACATAGAAGAGCCAGGACAGCTTCCTTTGGCGCATTCAACGGGGGAAGTGACTCTTTCCAGAGTAATGGTGTAGCATATCGGTTGACTCCATCCACATTAATCCTAATGGTCTTTTCTTCCAGAATACGGAGGGCTTCTGAATCTTGACGCGAGCGTGTGACTACCTTATCAGATCGATAAGGTAAAATGTCCAGTTTCCACAGTCTTTCAACCTGGTTAAAAAGCTCAGAATCAGGTGTCACACAAGAAACAAAGAGACATTCTTGCGGCTGAAGGCGAGATCGAAAGAACCTTGATGGACCTTGCAATGTCCACCCAAGCCTTGTATGCACAGCGGCTGGTCCTCCTTTGGGTCCCAATATCACTGGCTCTACAGGTGTGATCAAATGTGGATAGTCTGAACCGATAAGCACTAATGGTTGTGCTTGGTTGATTTCGTCCAAGGGCAGATCTCTAAGATAGCGATACTTTCGCTGCAGGTCAGTAATGGGGTAAGTATGCTGAACAAGACCTAGGTCCTTGGCTGTAAAAGCTCCATGAATTTGGAATGATCTGTCCGGTTGCGAAGCTGGAGCTATAGAGAAGGACACCGAACTTCCTCGTATGGTGTGAACCTCATGCCTCACCGTACGAAGGGCTAGATCTTCAACTGTACCTTGAAGACCTAAACGTTGAGCAGCCTCATGGAGCAGAATCGTTCGCTCGGAGCCATCGTCCAGTACCGCGTAGGTCTCTAACGACTTGTCTCCATTCTGAATCACAACTCGACTCAGTTTAAGTAACACTTGCTTTCCGCTTGTGGGACGGTCCAGATACAAGGTCTGGGAAGTGGAGCTCATGGGACCTGTGCTCTCTGACTGTCTGCTGTTGTCTTTCCCACCTGAATCTGAGCTGGCATTAACATCATGGAGAACTTCGAGATGTTTCCTATCACATTTCTTGCACTTCGCTTTCAAAGTACACTTTGAGGTCTGATGATTTCGGCCACATCTCCAGCATCTACGGCCAGTTTTGATCCAATTCTCAACCTGCTCCTTAGTCAAGAGCTTAAAGTTTGAGCACTGATTCATGTAATGCTGGATGGTATTGCAAAACGGACAATATTTCTTAGGCTTCTCCTGCATCCTATCTGAGAACACTGACCCTGTGTTTGAGTTATCTACTGACTCTCCCTTATGCTCTCCTCCATGCAGAACAGTAGTCAGCTTTCGAGGTGAGAAACCATGCTTCTTATCTTTGCGGGGGCCATGCTTCTCATAATCAGGGTAAGTACCGTACTGGGTTCCATCCACCTGCACTCGAACCTCATATTCAAGCCAATCAGCCAAGTCAAGCAGAGTAGGAATCGGAGTCTGAAGAGGGTTAACAAATCTCTTAAAGTTGGCTCTTAGGTCATATGGTAACTTAGCTAAGAGGCGGGATACATGAGAACCGCACTTCAACTCGGTCCAACCTGGGCTACCCAACTGATTCAACATTCCCACTAATGCCCGCACACGAAGAGCGAATCCTTTGAATGCCTTCACATCACCACTCTTGATTGTGGGTCCATCCATCAAAGTAGTGATCCGCTGCAATGCCAGCTGATGCGGTTGACCATACATGTCCGTTAGGGCTCGCATAGTGTCACTAAAGGGAGAACGACTGTGACTGTAAGAATCTGCGACAAGTAAAGCATCTTCCAATTTCAAATGATCCATTAGTATTTGAAACTTAAAAGATTCAGAAGCGTCGGCTGGCAGTACATTGTCTAAAGCGAGCTTAAGTCTGGCGAATTCCCGTGGATCATCATGAATGAAATTTGGGATTGTTGGTGTAGGTCCACGATATTGCACTGGCAGCGGGTACAAGGGACGGTTAAGATCTTGATCCAAAATTGGATATGAACGATCAGGCGGATACAGCCGTCCGTTGCTATGATAGTGTTCAGTTCTAGGATCACGTTGAAATTGAAGACTAGAACGGTCAGCTAAGGCAGTTTCTTGCAAAGTGTGCACTCGGCCCCCATAGTATGGATCCTGAAGATTTCGAATGGGCCGATACTCTGAATGCGAATGACAAGCATGTGCCTCTGCAGGAGAGCGACTGAAAACTCGAGGGGGGGGGTTGGCGAATTGGGCTGCAACAACATGGTATCATCGTACTGCCAATAAGGCGGATTGGACTGACTCTGCTGCTGGTCACGAACATAAGCAGCTCGATCAGGAACATGTTGCGGTAAGTCATTCACATTATGAGGAGGTTCAGTATACTGAGGTGTTGACTGGCCTGAGTGTAATTGGCTACCATTCAGTCCACTTACTTCCTTTAGACGATTAGTAAGATCTTCAATAAGATCTTGATGACCATCACGACGTGCGTGCAGAGAATCATCCCTGGGAGGCACCAATGGCACATGCTCAGATTGACCTGGATTTCGATCATCCTGATGTGAGGCCAGCATACTTGTAGCCATCGCTGTAGAAGATACCCTTCTTCTACACTAAGTGATTGTCGTGAAGGTGATGAAACCTGTAGTGGAGCTAACACAGGAGAACTAGCGATTATATCTGAGATGCGTCTAACATCCTGCCGCAGCTGCTTGCTCTCCTCTCTCATTTCACGAATACATGAGAGAACATCAGCATTAATTACTGTATTAACCTGCTCATCTGCAAATGTGAGTTGCCTCTGAGGATGACTGACCTCATAGTCTTGAAGATACAAAGGCTGGCGAGTGATTCTGCGTGGCCGAACCACCTCATCTTCTGTCATTCCCTCTCTGGGTCTGGACATCATCGCTGAAACGGTTAAAGCATCCGGCTCGAAGGACCATTAAATGTACAAATGGAACTGTACTGCGCTAATTACTTTTACGATGCTAATCGTTTCAGAGGGTCGATCACCACATTTCGATGTCCAATGACTATGAGAGTAATGAAGATAAAGCAGTTGAACTAAATTGTACCTTTTACTCTGAATATTGTTGAACAATAAAATACACTGTGTACATATTCACCATCAAAGGTATTCAAATGTAAAGAAAATGTACAAATAAAACGTAGGCCTACGCAAAATAATCAACAGAAATAAACAATGAATTGTTTCAACAGATTCAAGGATACAGATGACAGTTGGTCCTGTGATTAGGCAGTGAAACAAAGATTGCAACAGTCCGTGTGGTCTCTACAGTTCTTTAAAGTGTCCAAAAGGCTTTGTGACGTTGATGTTGAGATGCAGTCTCATGCCCTGAAGTATAGTAAATCCTCAGAGACGATAAATTCCAGTGTATAATCTAAGATGTTACTGAATATTTATCTCGCTGATGTATGACTCTCAAACGTGGTTCTACAATAAACAAATAATGTAATCAGCAACATAAACTGTATAGATGTGCAATTAACACGACAGAAATGCTGAAACATTACAGCTCTATATAATGGATGATCACATCTGTCACTATTAACATAATATTTCCCACAATCAGGTAACTGCACTCTCATTTAACATAAAATATAATGTAGCAGCCGTACATAAAGGCAAACAGTGAATAAGTGACCATTAAATAATAATATAAATGTAACTCACAATCTTCAATGACGCACATTCAGGAATCGTCACCATGGAAACTTCAGTGCAAAGTTTAATATCGTCCACTGCCGATCAAGAGCACAAATATCCTATTCTGCAGTTCACAAAGTGAAGGCGCTGCAGAAAGTGATGTTAATCTATCTTATTTCACTGCTTTACAGGTAAGATTGCAGGACCTAAACTTTCCCTCAGGATCCGAACCGAAGAAATATGATCTGCTTTCGCGCGAACTCAGATTAAACCACACCCCCTCATATTCAAATCAATGACCAACATGACAGCTGCACAGCCTTTATAATAAGTGAACAAAAACTGAACATGGGCTTTTTTACAGTACTAATGTATTATTGAGGGGAGATGAACTGAGGTATATTATCCATGAGCACAACCTCTTGGAGCTTCACTGGAGAATTCTTCATGACAGGCCCTGTCAGCACAGATGGTGAGCCTGCCTAATCTCCCCCAGCAGATGCACAGCAGCATTAATCATAAAACAGGATGTTAAATGAGGAATTAACTCCTTCCTTTCCCTCCTGCTCTATGGAATAAATAGAGTCCCTTTGCACTCGAGATCGGACAACAACCGCCCGAATCCCTTTAGAGGTCAGAGTGATGTCTTGTGTATACCAACCATCAATAATCAAATGCTGCATTTGTGTCTGGTAAATGAGTTTAGTCACAGTAATCTGCTGACCGACTGCAGGTGCACTTCATTGAAACTAAATGGCAGGCAATTTTACGCGCCGTAGAGAATTAGCGATCTCATTAGAGCACCGTTGTAACAAACTACCAGTAGTGGAGCATAGCCATCTTCAAAGGTTTCATTTGGAAGGCTTCACTATTATACTTGGCAAAAATAATTGAAGATCTGCTTCATTGGCCAATTGAGGAATATAAACAAAGTCACACAATGAATTAAGATTCAGCAACAAACCAAACAGTTAGCTGTCTAAACAACAGCCGTAGAAGTAAATACAGAATGTGATTAGATTTGACAAATGGACCGCTAAGCTGGGGTTATGCCGTGTGACCCGATCTTGTCAAAATCCCAGTGAATTATGGGACAGTGTTCTAAACTGAATAATGTGGGACTGTACATCTTCCACCAGTTTAAGTAATGTGAAAAACAACTATTCTGTATATGATTACACGGATAGAAATGATTATGCTGCAACTGTCAATCACAGTAAATACGATCAAGAGCCTTCCAGTATCCATTCTTGTAGCTTCTTACCTTACGTTGCCCTGCATTGAGTCGTAGTGGGTTGAGGAAGGGGTCAAAAATCATTCGACTGGTTTCAATGTTGACAGGCGACTGTCTCTTCCCAATCGCACACAGGTTCCAGGCAGTGTTAACTAATCCCCAGAAAGATGGCACTAGTAAAATATAAACATAAAAAGTGAAGTTAAGAGCATTTGCTTTCAATTTCAGGAGGAGAATGTTGCGTTTGTCATTTTGTAATGGGTCATGATCTGATTGGCACGGGATATGTTGGGGATCATCTCACATTGCTCATCCACAATGTCCTTCGTTAACCCCATCCATGCACAGCAAATTTCAGGAGTTGAAAAATCATGAGTTAGGCAAAAAAGTGTGAAAGAGTTAATTTTTTGGAGTTATTTTTTTAACTCTGACTACGGTTTGTGTTATTGGATACTCCCCGGCTGTGTTGTATTTTGGAGTTCATTCATTGGTGTTCAGGAGCGTGTTTTAACACTACACCTGACCTGGAGTTATTCTTGAGAAGTGCGCCACGACACGACCCTGCCGCTGCACAAAGGAATAATGGATTTACGCTTCGTCGTGAGGTAGGTAAAAGTGTAACTTATATAAAACTATTTAAAAAATATATTTTCTGACAAACACGTTTGGTCATCGCGTAGCTGTTACGTTACTAGTTTGTTTACTAATTAACGTCAACAACCATGACAAACTTGCTGTTGAACGCATGTTTAAATGACTTGTTTCATATTTTGAAATGGCTATTTGCGTGGGTTTTTTGTCGATGTAAACGAGTTAACATTAGCTAACCGTCTTTCCATTCACCGTGTTTCTGAAAATGAGTGTTTTGCCGTGAAATAGATGCGTCAATGCATTACAGGCAATTGAATTGTAACAGCTATGTAACGTTAGGCTATATTAGTGGTGACCCACGATGTGCGTGATTTTCAGCTTATATATTTTTGCATTCTCAATGAATGGTGCTAGATTATATTATGCCTCATGCTGTTGTTTTTGTGATCTTCAGACGACTGTCCTGCAGCAAGCGGTTGGTTACTCCTCCTCAAGTCTGAACCAAATGGATTTGCTCAAATAAAGGCAGTAAATCAAGAGTATGGTGTCCAGTGTAGTAATTTCCACACAAAACATTATATTGTGTTAAATAAATGTTAACTCTAAGAAGTGTTAAACTAAACTGGTAACACTGGTAATGAGTTCATATAATTAATTTTAGAGTTACATTTACTCTCTGTAGGATTAGTATTTTAACTCCATTTTAACTATGAAAAAAGTGTTAAAAATTCAACTCCAAGAGCAGAGTTATTTTAACTCTGCGCTGGAGTCTAATTGATGGTCTCACATGTACACTCAGATTGAGTTGATTTTAACTAACAGGGAGTTTATTCCAAAAACCAGAATTTTCTGTGTGGTGTAGATGTTGTTTTTGAGTTTGGATCTAGTTGTTGATATCCTTTGAGGCAACATTTTGACAAGCAATCAATTTTACCACTTAATTACCAGCCGCAGCACTGGTTCTCCTTTGAAGCCATTACTGTGCATCCAAATAAGAGAACTGCATGTTAATGCGATTCGTTTCGCAAAAACAAACTCAACGAGAAAAAAAAAAGAAACACAGATGGAATTAGTCACATTAGACACACAGCCAAAGGACATACTTGACCTTATATGATTAATTTATTCTCTGAGATGTTTCACAGTCCTTAAAAACAGTAAACAACTTTATTGCTGATTGGAATGAGATTTTTATAAATGCATTGAACCTCAAACCAGTGTTGTAGTCGAGACCACCTCACTCGAGTCCGAGTCGACACCGAGACCAGAGAGAGTCGAGTCCGAGTCAAGACCGAGTCCATAGAGAGTCGAGTCCGAGACCAGAGACGGTCAAGTCCGAGTCGAGACCGAGACCAGTGAAGGTTGATTACCTAATTTACTTTTATTTACTTAGAGAAATCCTTTTTTTTTTTTTTTTTTACTGAATTTACTTAGAGTTTAAAAAATATGATCAGTTTAGGGTAAAAAGGCCACATAGTAGGTGGTGTTAAAAGTAATTTTATTACAATTTGTCAAGCGCAGTTGCGCACTAGAAAATCACCAATCACTGGGCGTGTCAATCAATTTAAAGAAATATTTTATTAACATACATTAATAATCATGAAAAATATTTTTAATTGAACTCGAGTGGACTCGGGAATAATTCCGAGTCCTAAAAAAAAAATGTTTGAGTACGAGTCAATTCCGAGTCCAAATGGACACACGAGTCCATGACAAGACCAAGACCATTAAAATATGGCCTCGAGACCGAGTCCGAGACGAGTCAGAGTCTCGAGTACTACAACACTGCCTCAAACGTCATATTTGTTGTTTTGAAAATGAATATGACAGATCAAGGGAGGAGCCCTTTAACATTCTAAGCGCATAGTCTAAAGCGCACGGCGCAAGTGCACTTAGGGCAAATCCGAATCTACTTTTGCTAGATTAACAACGTAAAATGGTTGGCGGGCACTGCGCATGGTCTAAAAGTGTTGTCCCTATTCTCGTAATGAGTAATGGTTGTGTTTTGAGGTGTAACCATAGACTGTAAAAAGGGTGTAACGTGCAATGAACCAATCAGAGTCTATTCTCCCATTCCCTTCAAGAGCCAGTTGCACTCGCGCCATGGTGGATTCGCTGTTTACATGGCAGATTTTGCGAGTAAACAGCGAATCCACCATGGCAAAAAAAACACTTCTCCAGTGAGGAAACGGATCTGCTCGTGTGAGGTTAAAGAGAGCGAACAGACCATCTACGGGACAAGCCAGATTCCACCAAATCTTTCTGTACACAATAATAATCTTTTATTATTATTATTATCCATGTTATCCACATTAGTAATGTGCTCTTTAAATAACAAACAAATAAATAAATAAATAAATAAAACACTGCCATTGACATTAGACCAGGTTTCAGTTGGTCAATGGCGCAGTCTATTTCAGTTGCCTCAAAATAGAAATGCGCCAACAATGCGTCTAAACACACCTATTTTTCAGACCAGCACGCAAATGCATTTGCTATTTAAACAATGTGCAGGACGTGAAAATGATAACTGTGTCGGGCTGAAACTAGCAAAAACCACTTGCGTCGAGCCTGGCGCCACATTGGTGTATGGTACTGTGTCTTTAAAAGCTATATCTATAATCTATAAGCTAAAAATAAAAGTTCTGTCATGATTGGGTGTATTTTTGAACTATCCCTTTAACTGAATCCAGTATGAGGTTAGCGGCATTAGCGTGAGTGGAGATGATATTGTGACACTGGACATGTCAAACTCATTAGATCACCAAGAGCTTGGATGCTTCAATGCAAAGAGAATCAACTTTTGTCCCCATAGGCTGAGATTATAAACAGATTTATCCAACATGAACAAGCAATCCCCGACCTGATTTTCCTCTCATCCTGCCTGGCTCTGCAGGAGTGAAACCGGACTGGGCTACGTGATGTGTTGGCTTATTAAATCAGAATGAGAAAATGCATTAGATACAAAGATTACGCCATACTAGGAAGCTGTGGAACAAGCTCTGTTCCTTCGAATGCATGAAAGCTATTTACGCGCTATTCGTGTATTTTCAGCATCTCTTTGTACAGTGACCTAAATAAATGATTGTTCCCAAAACTGTTATCTAACTAAGGTGTAATCCTACTTTTGTCCGGGATCCTAACAGCCACTGAGCTCATTAGGTGGAATTGCTATTTTATTTATTTTTTCACTTCTCACTTTCACTTCCTCTTTGAGCTTTCTTAAATGTCAAGGACAGACAGAATATGCAACTGCTTATAAAATTGAAGGGGGAACCAGTAAGTAATGTGTGCTTATTTAAAAGTAGGCTCAGCTCAGCCCATAATTCATAATTCAACATGTAAGATAACAAAATTGTAAAGCCAGGTTATTGGACACTAGTTTAACTTGAAAATAGAAAAATACAACAAATGTAAATATTAACATATTCATACATTTAACATATATATATATATATATATATATATATATATATACAGTATATGCACAGTATATATTTTAATTCAACAATATTTTGTCTATAATAAGCATTAAAAACTAAGAAAAAAATAAATGTAGGTATCACAATATCATAATGTACGTAGTGAAACATGGATATTCAATTTGAGATTTGTTAAGATTACATTTTATGCTATTATTAAATTTAAGATAATCTAAATGTAAAAATAAAGAAATCAAGTATAAACAATTAAGTATCCAATATCATTCAGTACAGTATCATTATGGACTGATTTAAAAAAAAAAGAGGCAACACACAAAAAATGAACAACTCTATAACAAACCATGCATTCAAAAAATAAAAATCAATAGCAGCAGCCTGAGTTTCTGTTTAATGTCCTGTTGAGTGTGTTGGTATTTTTTTAGCTGAATCCATTGTTAATATAAGGTCAGCTGAGTGTTTTGAGCTCTGGTGCTAACAGTCTTTTGCTGTATAGCAATTGATGAGTGGTAGACAGATGGCACCCTCATCCTCAGGGATCTGTGCCAGATTTGACTTTGGGTTCAATACATTAATGAGAACTCTGTCAAAGTCCTTTTTAGGTATGACATGGAACAAATACATCAACAGTGTTCAGTACAATGCAAGGCGCTGAGGTTACATCATACTGAAAGCTGCATGAATAAAGCCTCAAAGATGGAAGAAGAACATTAATTTTAATGCTACAAATATGTATTTTTACATATTCTCTTGCTTTACACGTTTCTGAAACTGAAGACTTTTTTAACGGTGCAGTTTTCCAGATGAAGAGAACGACATTCAATTGTTTTGCTTTGTTACACAAAGTTTGTTTACACCCCTGAGCACAAGTGCAAATGGGAGATAGCTGAACATATACATTTAATCAAAGTATAATGTAAACTGCTTCTTTGGTTAAGCTATAGAAGCATATTACTGCAATCACCTGAAACGTCAGGTCAGCCCAACACTTAAAGGAGTAGTTCACTTTTGAAAAAACTTTTGCTGATAATTTACTCACCCCCATGTCATCTAAGATGTCCTCGTCTTTTTTTTCTTCAGTCGAAAAGAAATTAAGGTTTTTGATGAAAACATTCCAGCATTTTTCTCCATATAATGCACTT